AGCCACCGGACTATCCCCATACCAAAATTCATGCCATGCCGACGCTCTGTCGCGACGTGAAAGAAGGACAAACTTTTGCAAAATATTCTATTTTCCCACGGGAATGAGATATTTTTCCGCAGAGAAAAGTAACCTATGTCACTCTACAGCCACCGAACTATCCCCATACAAAAAATCATGCCATGCCGACGCTCTGTTGCGACGTGAAAGAAGGACAAACAAACAAACAAACACACTTTCGCATTTATAATATTAGTATGGATTTGTCCATCAAATAATAATAGCGTGACAAGAGTTAATTGAGCAAGTGGGATGAGTTCGTGTATTTGGGATGTGTATTTAGCAGGGATGGTACGTAGGCGGTCCCATTATGAATTGGCCTAACTATGAACCAATGAAGGAAATGAAACGAAACTAATTTTATTTTTCAATATAATCACCATGAATACTAACACACTTCTTACATCTGTGAATCAACATCTCTAAACCTTTATAAAAATAATCACATTTTTTATCCTCAAAATGACTGAAGACGGCCGCCTGCAACTCTTCATCGCTTGAAAATTTTCTTCCTCTTAAGTCCTGCTTTAAATTTGGAAATAAATAATAGTTGGACGGGGCCATGTGTGGACTGTAAGGTAGATGTTGAACTTCTGTGAACCCGCATTGACGAACTGCATCCTTCGAAACACCAGCGGTATGAACAGGGGCGTTGTCATGGAGCAACAGGACACCTTTAGACAGCTTTCCTCTTCGTTTTTTCTTTATCTTGTCTCGTAATTTATATATTAAAGAAGCAAAATATTCGCCGTTCACTACTGTATTACGTTCTTTAAAATCCACCATCAAAATGCCTTGAAAATCCCAAAATATTGTGCACATCAGTTTTTTAGTCGGTTGTTGCACCTTTGCCTTTCTAAGGGGCTTTTCACCCTAATAACGCCATTCCATTGACTCGCGCTTGCTTTGTGGATCATGATACAAGATCATAGTTTCATCACCAGTCACTAGCCGCTCGATCACAGTCTTTGGATTTTCGCCACAAAGATCCAAAAACTCCGAAGCGCAGCGCACTCTTTCCTGTCTCTGTACCGCTGAAAGAAGTTTCGGTACCCATCTTGCACTCACTTTTTTCATGTGAAGATGTTCATGGATCGCGCGATAAATGGTACTCTTAGAGAGCCCAAGCCTAGCTGCAATTTCTCTAATCTTCCAACGACGGTCACTCAGAACCTCCTCTTCGATAAGATCAATCGTTTCGGGAGTAAGCACAGGTCGACCGTCGTGGCCAAAGTCTTCGACGGTTTCTCTCCCGAGGCGAAACTCTTTCACCCAATTTTTCACTGTGCTATAGGAGGGGGGCAGACTCCTTATACACGCCATCCAATCGTTCTTTTATTTGGGCAGGGGATAAAACTTCTTTAAACAGAAATTTTATGACACTTCGATACTCAGTTTTCGACATTTTGAAAAAATACGCGACTCTCGTTATTCAAATGCCTGTTAAACTAAGACTAAGCATTTCATGTCGATGCATGTTTCTTATATTAAGTACACGATAAACGTACTATTTAATGCAACACAACATGTAGCGACATGTCGCGTTGAACTATATCAGGCCAGTTCATTATGGGACCGCCTGGTAGATATGATAAGGATATAGAACAACGAGTAAATGTAGAGAATAGAGTGAATGGGGCACTACACTCTATTATGAAGAATCAGAATGTGTCAAAAAAGGCACGTATGGTAATTCATAATGCTGTGTTAGTCCCTACTTTAATGTATGATAGTGAAAGTTGGGTGTGGCAGAAGAAGCACGAAAGTAGAATAAATGCTGTAGAAATGCGGTCTTTAAGGAGTATGCTAGGGTTGAATCTGAATGACAGGGTGAAAAATTGCGTGATAAGAGATAAATGTGGTATGAAAGATGATGTTGTGACCAGGATTAAGAAAATAATGCTTCGGTGGTTTGGTCATGTAGAAATAATTAATGAGGAAAGAGTGGCAAAGCAAATTTATATGGCAGATGTGAACGGTAGAGTCGGGAAGGGACGTCCTAGAAGAAATTTTATCGACCAAATTGGCGATATTTTGAAAATGGGCCACATAAGAAGTACCCTTAACCAACGAGCATGTATGCGTAGATATATGGACATAAAGGAGGCCTCCGTTTGACGGAGGATGAAGATTAAGGTGACTGTGATGATGTCACCTTCACCTTAATGGATAAAGGATCTTAGTGATGCTACGTAGAACCATCGTGTTTTTTCAACTCATTTTTAAAAAGGTTCATGAAGACTTAGATGACTATGATGATATCATCTAGCTGATGGTGGACTCCGTGAGTGGGTATAGGATCTCAGCGATGCTACTAGATAGGACGATCGTGTTTGAACTCATTTGAAAGGGCACATAAAGACCTAGTTGACTATTATGATCTCACCTTTCTGATGGTGCAATACGAAGGTGGATATATATCTCAGTGACGCTACTAGATATGACAATCGTGTTTGAACTCATTTGAAATGGCACGTAAAGACCTAGGTGATTATTATGATCTTACATTTTTGATGGTGGACTCCGAAGGTGGATATAGGATTTCAGTGATGCCACTAGATAGGGCGACCGTGTTAGAACTCATTTTAAAGGGCACATAAAGACCTAGGTGACTATTATGATCTCACCTTTCTAATGGTGCAATACGAAGGTGGATATAGGATCTCAGCAACGCCACTAGATATGACAATCGTGTTTGAACTCATTTGAAAGGGCACGTAAAGACCTAGGTGACTATTATGATCTTACATTTCTGATGGTGCAATACGAAAGTGGATATAGGATCTCAGTGATGCACCGCTAGATAGGACGATCGTGTTTGACCTCATTTAAAAGGGCACATAAAGACCTAGGTGACTGTTTAGATCTCAACTTTCTTTTCTGATTTTGCAATTTAAAGGTGTGTATAGGATCTCAGTGACGGTACTATTTTTATATTTTTATTATTATTAATTTATAGAAGACACGCAATTTTATCTGTGACATTTCTAAAAATTTTATGCCCACAAAGGGGGAGAAAACATAGGAAAAAGAAAGAAAACTGAACTATAGTGTACCTATATATGTTATGTAACATAATACAATACGAAAAATTTTTTATTTTATAAACCTCAACATATTTTATTATCAAGCAAATCAAATACGGAGCTTGTTTATTTTATCATTTTTGTACAATCTTTTGCTGCGGTCACACTAACGAGAAATGCCGTTAATCATCGCGTTGATGGACATTGAATGTATGTGTGGCCACGACTTAACAGATTAATTTGACAATGGCATTAACAAAGCTGTTTGCCGTAGCGTTTTGATATCAATTATAGACAATCTACGAGAACTACCAACCACAACAGCCTGACATTATGAGGGATTAACCCTAATACAGTGTATTTTCATGCAAAAAACAATCAAACCAGTCAAACCTACAAAATGACTACATGACTTTTCATATGTGAATACTTTTAACAAAAAAATGGTTAAAACTCGTATTTTTTGAATATTTTCGTAAAATACCAAGTGCTGCCAGCATACTTCATGAAGTGAAAATTAAGCGATTTTTTAAATTAATATAATTTACTACACAAACTAAATATATTAACAAAAATTTATTTCATATTAACTTAATCAGTTTGTGATGAATAATAATCATAATATTAAGATGTGTAGTGTATTTTGCGAAATGATTTAAATATTCTGCTTAATCTCAACACGATTCTGAATATATTATAATTTAATACAATCGATAACTAGTATTTATCAAAATATAATACAAAATAATGGCCAAATATGTCGAATCAAAATTTGTCACTTCGTAGCAAATGTATGCAATTTTTGTAAAATTAACTGGTATCACTGCAACCGAAAGTACTGCAATGTAGTGATGTACGCCATAACTTTAGCTATCGATAAGTTAATTAACGCATTTGGGTTTGTCTGCCGAAAAGGTTTTTATTTTTTGTTTAGATTTTATAATAAAGTATTACAAAAAGTAATAAATTTTTCTATTATATGGTTTGGTTTTACATATTACTAAGAGATCATCTTAGGCGGCAGACTTGGATAGCAGCTTGTAGAAATAATGAATCTTGGATACCTTAACGGTCTAGCACCATTTGCTCCGAACATTATGATTTATCATATTTCATACCCCAAGTTATCAATAAAAAAGGTTAACCGATACTGCTGTACCAACCTTGTACTTGTAGGAGGTAAGGTCTAGCTGTAATTATATCAATAGATTTAATAATTTTATTATTACCCTTAACACCGATATTATTCTTCTTGAAAATATTTTAGAATTTCGACAAGTTTACAATAATGACGGGGATTTTATCGCGTTTAATTTTGTTTTTTGATTTTTTTAGACCCGACGTTTCGGGTACTTCACAGTACGAACCTTAATGTCGCACCTTTGACAAAATACGGCACGTGCTGAGGCGGGGCGGCACAAAAACAAGGAAAATTAAACTAAAAAAGCGCCTCGAAATAAAAAAGCAATATCATAAAAAGGCTTCAATGGCAGTAACGGTATTTAAAGAAAAAAGTTACAAGTTTGCAAGAAATATTAAATTCACTGACAGAGACATCTTTGATAAATGAATAAAAACAAACAGGTACTATAAAAGATAGGAACTGAAGAAAGCGGACTTTTAAAGAGACAATTACTTAAAAGTAAGTCTAAAAAAAGGCCCAGAACTAAATATTTCACAGAGTTAAGATGTTTCGCTCTAAGATGCCCATTGTAATGGGTACTATGTATAGTAGGTTTTGCTGTCAGTTTTACAACAATCACGGTTGTGATTGACGAATAACCTATCGTGTAATGCGGTGATTGACGGTTGCATGAAAATGACAAATATCTGGATATTTTGATTTTTACGTCAATCAACTATCAGTCACGAATTTTTATTGAACGTGTAATGGCATTTCGTCAATTAGCAGCAATGCAGGCAGACGCAAAATATATTGAAGAGGCGGAATCCACGCGCTCGCGCAGCCTGTTGACACTCCCGCCAAACTTGCTTCTGCCAGAAAAAATTTTCATTTTAAATTTTGAGACTATTCCCGAGTTGTGGGACACGAAAAACCCAGGGTATACGACAAGGTAAGCTTCTTTTTCATCCTAAAGATATTTAAATAAATAAATGCGTTTCAAATAATAAACACATTGCGTTCATAATTGAAATTACGTAAAAATAGTGTTAGCAACGTTCAATTTTTTTTTCATAAATTAAAATATGTAAAATTAAATATTACAATGTTTCCTATTGGTTTTACAATTTTTTCCTATTAGTTTCTTTTATTTTTCTTTTCAAGATAATAAATTACAATTAAATGGTGAATTAAAAATGAACATAGTTTATAGTTAGGTATGTATTATTTGCCAAACATCGCTCCCATAATCAAAAATAAGTAACAATAACGCAATGTGCTTCTTATTTGAAATGCATAGTTGGTTTGTTGTTATTTATTTGATTTTAGAAATGAAAACTTGGCCAATTTGCTGCCAATTATGAGAAAAGTTAAGGAAAACGCTATCATAGATAATGTGAAGAAAAAAATTAATTCAATCAGATCCAACTAACGCCGAGAATTAAAAAGAAATACGACATTTTAAAGGTCCAGCGCAGAGGCTGACGAAATTTACTATCCTAAAATTTGGTATTTCCAATACTGACGTTTCTTACACAAAATGTCAGCACAGGCTATTTTTTTAGGAAACGGGTTTGACTGACGATCAGTCATCATGAGCGTGAAATGTCAGTTTGTTTCTATCAGTCACCATCTGTTTTTATGAATCATGATTGATCGAATTGAATGACGTCTGCATGATCGTGTAATGAACGCGAACACTTGATTATGTAAAACTTTTGGAACATGTTTGCCTGCATCACTGACATTGACAAAGTGGTACAGTACCATCGATGGCCGACCAGGGTTTACTCAAGAAGCGCTGTTGGCTTTAAAATTGAAAGCGAAGAGTACTCCTGATGAAAAAAAATTATTGTACCTTGGTCATGGATGAAATGAAAATTAAGCAGTTGATGGAATACAATGCTTGCAGCCAAAGGCATTAAGGCTAAGTCAACTACGGGTTTGATATTATATCCGATAATTTCGATGAAGCTACTGACGCATTATTGTTTTTAATGCTCGGCATAAACACAATGTGGAAAGTACCCTTAGCTAACATTTTGATTAAATTTAAATTAAAATCAATAAAAGTTTGATCAGTCTTTTAAAAACTGGCATAACTAATAAAATCATAATTTTATCTTAAACGTTTTTTTTGAAATAAGATAATTGGAGGGGGGGCCGTGAAGAATTAACAACCGATGAGGGTAAAAAAGGTTCTCGAGTGGCAGCCTTGTACCAGTGGGTGAAGTGAAGGGTGACCCCCAATAGATGGAGTGACAACCTGCTAAGACATGCAGCAATCGGTGGATGCAGGTGAATCAGAACCGTGCTTTGTGTCATCCCTTGGGGTAGGCCTATGCTCAGCAGCGGTATTTGATGGTATGCGTAATTGCAATGAACACAAACACAAATGTGTAGGGTGCGTGTATAGCAACGCGATTCAATTTTGCATATTGTGTAGTGAAGTATACAGTAGTGTGATTTCCTCGCCTCTCCCTGAAAGTGACAGACTTTTGTTTAGGAATTAACACGCATGGCCTCTCCAGTTGTGTAAATATTCAAAGGTGCCCAGGCCTAAAACCAGATAGATATATGCTAAGAAAGCTATTTTTGAAATGTAACTAGAAATTTGTTTGTGAACAATAGCTTCAAGAACTTTAGATAAAAAAGGGAGAATAGATATTAGGCGATAGTGAGAGAAAGAACTGGGATTGTTTATTTTAGGCAGCAGAATAACAAATGCTTTTCTCCAAAGTGTAGGAAAATCTCCAGTTAGTAGTGAATTATTAAAAATGTGAGTAGTATAATATTGGGAGTATTATAGTCTAGGATTAAGGTGCTCATAAGTCTATTAACATCATAAAAGCCAACTTCCATATACTTAATACAATAAATAGTCATTTTTTATATCCTCATCAGCAACGGGAGAAAAATCAAATGTACATATGCAGTCCATAATCAGTTATGAGATTGTGGCATGGATTGAAAATAAAAAATAGTACTTGATTTAACAGAAGCCTGCATTTGGGTAGTTGAAGGAAAATGTAATTTGAGATCATTTATAAAATGGATTGCAGGGTTCACGTTACTTATAGGTTTACTGACCCCGACCGTCCGGAGAAATTTCCACGTATCAGCCATAGAGGAGTTCATGATATTATGATGAATAAGGCGGCGTTTAGCGGCTCGTATAATCTGATTACATAGATTTCTCGCAGCTTTGAATTTTGTCCATTTGCGTTCACAATGGTTCTGCGTGAATTTCCTAAACATCTGATCGCGCTTAGACATGGCCTTACTGATATTTTTAGTAATCCGTGGAGCAGGCGAGCGTTTTAACCTAACCTCACGAATAGGTGCGTGTTTGTCAAACAGCTTATGAATATTACAGTTAAATGTCGTAATCTTGTCATGTCATCAATACTCTTAAATGTATCGCTCCAATCTAAAAGCGAAGCATCATGTTGGAGCATTTCTACATTAAGTCTTGTGAAATTACGCGGGCGCACTATTGCTGGCTTTATTTTAGGAGGTTTAACTTTATAGGAAATTAACAGTAAAACATGTCTCGAGAAACCAGGAGCAGGGAACTGTCCGTGGCAGACAACACGTTCTTCTGAGGAGACCAATATCAAATCTAACAATGTTTCATCAGTAGTAAGATTGTGTTGGGTGGTATCAAGTGGAAGTATTGAAAAATTTGCCGATTCACTAATTGAACGCAGTTCATGCGATTTGGGAGCATCACCAAGAAGATTCGTATTAAAGTCACCCAATAAAATATGATGTTGATAATCAGAGCAAACTGAAAGAAGTGCCACTTCAAATACATATAAATGACTGTAATTGGGTGGAAAATAAATTGCACCAACCATAACATTATTTCCACTAACAACAATCTCAAAAAAAAATACTCAAATAATCCAGTACATTTTAAAGGTGAGGCTGATAATTTTTTTTAAGAATTACCACTTCGCACGTATACTGGCACACCACCTCCTCTTTTATCAATGCGGTCGTTATAAAGTACGACGTAAAATAAAACCTGGTATTCCGTAAGAAATATAAGGTAAAGTTGGGTTTAACCAGGTTTCTGAGATAAGTATCGCATGGATGCTTTGAATATTAAAAGTTGCTAAAAGGTCATTGTAATGCTGAAGTATCCTCTGGGCATTAATGTGACAATCGTTGAAATTTTTATTATAATTACCGATAGTTATAGAAGTCAGAATAGATATATTTATATATATATATATATATATATATATATATATATATATATATATATATATATATATATATATATCGATCGATATATATATATCGATATTTTTTGAGAAAATGTCGATATTTCGATATATCGCTATTTTTTATCAAGCCTGTGCTACAACTACATATTTATTTATCTATGAACACAGAACACTATTACTCCTATCGGAACTCTATGGGAACTCTAATATAGGAATGATCGATGTTACAGAAACATCGATGATGATATCGATAGCTTAACATCGATATTCGATGTTTATCCTACTCAAAATATCGATGTTGGCCATTATCGATGTTACAGCACATGTACCTATTTAGTAGGTTAAAATTAGATGTACAAAAAATTTGTAGTGTTGTTTATGGTTTATTATTTATGAAATTAAAGAAATTAATAACACATTCATTGTGAAACAGTAATTTAAAAAATAAGAAAAACTTAAAAAATATTTAGTTCCTTTGTTATATTTTTTGCCGATAATGATGAATATTAATATTTTGATATTTAAATGTTCCTATACAATTATAAATCTGGTATTAAAATATTTACTATCCTAATAAACGATTTAGACATAGGGTTTATATAAACAACTCCTATCACGAAATAAAAAATGATTATAGAGGAAAAATTAGCAAACTTCACAAAAACAAAAAATAGACTTTTCCGTCACCTTTGTTCACACCATTTTTTATCAGGCAGCCCAGGAAGTAAGTATCCACAGCCGTTTATAAAATGTACTGTAGAATGCACTTTGCAGTGAAATTGTCTATGCTCATGATTGCCCAGTGATTTATTCTGATAAACTTCAAGCAAACCATAAACTTATTATCCCAAGCTCAAAAAACAACTAAATATTATTAAATTGTGTAGATACATATTGTTTCAAAATTATGTGTGTATAGACAGCAAGGAAAAAAAATTAATTTGAATATCAATTTATGTAGAATAGTTATTAGGCGACAGCCGATAACGACACCACAATAACAAAGCGAAATCAGTTACAACATTGACATTACAGTTCACACTCGACGGGGAGTTTGACACAACACATAATGACAATTTTTTAGGTGATCGATGCATTTAGGAATCCTTAATTATTCAACATTTTAAACCTTTAATAGGAGATGAAATATTTAGGTGATATTGATTTCGCGGGTTCGCATTGTTCACAAGTTCTTATTAATCGATTATTGGTTCATTGACATCGATGTTTAACATGTGGCAACATCGATGTTAAAACATCAATGTTTCAATGGGTGCGTTTGGCAGAAAAAAGCGCTAGCAAGCGCTTATAAGCGCTGAAATAATTTTCGGCCAGGACACGATTGCTACTTCAGTAGCGCTGACACAATCCGCCATTTTGCTTTTTTAAATTGTTTGTTTTGAAGTAGAGTTTATAAGTTGTTTTGTGCAATAATAGTTTTAAGTAATATAATGACATGAATAAACATATACATGTTATTAAAAATTCATGATTGGTAAGTTTTTTAATATAAATACTTTACAAACATATATTTAAATTAGGTTAGGTTCTCTGGTTAAAACTAACATCGTGTCCTGGAGGAAAAATAGCTACTTTCGAGTTGACAGCGCTTACCGCTTACGATCGCCATTTTGCTTACAAGCGCTTGCTAGCGCTTTTTTGTGCCAAACGCACCCAATTTCTAACATCGATGATCATCGAACATCCCTACCATAGATTACTAAATATGTACTAGAGAATCCCTACTCTACTACTCCTGTCTATGAAAAAAAGAGAATTCGATTTCAAAGGTAGTTTAGGTAGTTAGTTTTAGTTTGTGAATTTTCAATTAAAGGTATAGGAAACAGGAATGGCCTTTAGTAAAATTTGTAGAATCTGTTTAAGAGTTGATGTACGCGTGATTGTACTAAAGAATACTGGCCTCCGAAATTTATATAAAACATTGACGAACAGATTTGTAAGTTTGTTAAATTTCTTTAAGTAAGTCGGTAATATGTTATTATTGCTGGAGAAATATGCGGCATTTTGTTACCTGGTTGAGAAATATTTTAACGAGGAGTTATCGATAGAGAAATATATTGTAACTTGCCTAATAAAAAATGCGATAGATCTGGACTAGCCTAAGGTGTAGCGTTATATACTTATAGCCACAAATACGATCAGAACCAGAATAAAAATTTGCTTGGAAACTTTGGGT